AGTTTCCCCTGCACTCTTTCTATCTCTCCTACCACCTTGTGAAGATGTGCCTGCTTCCCCTTTGCCTCCCACCATGATTGTAAGTTTCCTGGGGCCTCCCCAGCCATGTGGAACTCTGAGTCGATTAAACCTCTTTTGTTTATAAATTACACAGTCTCAGGTAGTATCTTTATAGCAGTGTGAAATGGACTAATACAAGGTGTGAACCACCACGGCCAGCCTAGACTTCCTTTTCAATATTAATGTATATAAAAGGAAGGTACATTTGATCATTTAATATGGATTCAGCTGAAACAATCTTCTGTGGTATTGGAGACACACACAAGCACGCGCGTGTGTGTGCATGCACACCCAGAGTAAAGAACCGAATATTTGTGTCCCACCAAAATTTATATGTTGAAATCTTAACTACCAACGCGATGGCAGTAGGAGGTAGGGCCTTTGGGAGGTAGGTTATGAAAGTAGAGTCCTCAGCTGGGCACGGTGGCTCGTGTAATCTCAGCACTTTGGGAGGCCGAGGCGGGTGGATCACGAGGTCAGGAGATCAAGACCATCCTAGCTAACATGGTGAAACCCCATCTCTACTAAAAATACAAAAAATTAGCCGGGCATGGTGGCGGGTGCCTGTAGTCCCAGCTACTTGGGAGGCTGAGGCAGGAGAATGGCATGAACCCAGGAGGTGGAGCTTGCAGTGAGCTGAGATCGTGCCACTGCACTCCAGCCTGGGCGACAGAGCGAAACTCCATCTCAAAAAAAGGAAAAAAGAAAAAAGAAAAAAGAAAGTAGAGTCCTCATGATGGGATTAGTGCCTCTTATAAAAGGGACCCCAGAGCACTAGCTAGCTGTCTCTCCATCAAGTGAGCATATGAGAGGTTGGCAATCTGCAGTCCAGAAGACAGCCCTCACCAGACTCAAACCTGCTGGCACCCTGATCTCAGACTTCCAGACTCCCAAACTGTAAGAAATAAATTTCTGTTTATAAGCTACCCAATCTATGGTACTTTGTTATAGCAGCCAGAACTGACTAAGACACACACACACACACACACACACACACACACACGTACACACACATCTTATGCATGAGTCTCAGAGTTTACTAGCTAATTACTGCTCAGAGATTAAACTTTCAGAAGAGTGTCTTACCAAATGTGTTTTTTTATGATTACACTTAAAAATAAAATTGTAATATATGATTGTTATGAAGTATTCAAGCAGCACAAATAAAGTAGTAGATGGAGTAGGCTGTCTGTTGTTTCTTTAAAGGGAGGCTCTTACCTCACTGCTGCTGATGCTTTGCAAGATGATGTTTTGATTTTTGGTAACTATCATCATATCAGTTGGAGAAGAGCTTGTATCATGACAAATGTCAAGCAATGACTCAGCATGTCTTTCTATCAAAAGAAACATAATAGTACGTTTTGATAAGATTCATCTCCAGCAATTTCAAAGGAAGATCTAGCTCTATGTTCTAAAATCAGCTCCATTGTGTCAAACATTTTCCTGAAATAGTGGTCTGGGATCCTGATGAAGCTTCTGGCACTAATTTTCACAAGAAGGGACGTGAAGACAAGAGTTCACAGAGTGGATCGCTTACTATTTTTTAAAAGGCTTTGATGATAACTGCTATTGCATAAGGACAAAAAAATCAAACAGGTACTTTGAGATTTTGAGCAAGTGAAATTTTTTAGAGAGTTAGGATGAATCAATCATCCTTTCTGATCTGAGTACCCACTAAATTTTAAGCTGTATGAGAAATTAAAACTTTACAAGAGTCAGATTTTAGTTAAACTTAAATCCAGTTACCTCATACTTAATGTCTACATTGTCATTGCAAAACCCTCTGTAGGGTGCTGGGACATGAGTAAGAACTTTTTAACCACTAAAGCTGTCAGCAGTTCAAGGTTAGGGGACCCTCTTCTCCAGAGCTGTGCAGAGGAAGGACATCTGTCTTGCATGTTTCCTGAGGATGTCCCATCATTACGGACTTCTATTGGTGGAAGATTAGGAGACGCTTCTTGGACTCTTCCAACTAAACCCTGAAAAACTTCCATGTATTTTTCAGGGTACTGAAGACTTAGTGCCAGCTCAATCGATATTGGATCTTCTTTCTCTGAATCTGTGCACTGCCCTGAAGACCCTGAAGTTTTTTCTTGGGGATTGAGGATAATTTCTGCACAATTTGGCTAACAACTGAAATCAGAGCAATACAGGGCCTTACAGACCATCCTATAATTTAAAAAATTTAGATCGCTCAAACTTTCTTCTTTAGTTTGTAGAAGGGAGTGAATCATGAAGTTAAATTAATAGTAATCAAGAGTTACCACTTCAAATGTTTGGGAGTAATGGTTTGTGGTAGGCAAAGTTGCTAAGAGAAACCCTAATGATGAGCTGGAAATCACATTTGCTCTACAGTTGCCCAGGACAAAGACACTCAGCTCCTCTGAGCACACTTCTTATCTAGTGATTAAAGCCACATTAAATGGACAGAGTTCCTAACACCAAACAGCAGACTCCCAGTTTGTACCCTAGGGACATCCCCTCCTGCTATCCTGGCTTCTTCAAATAAGCATTGGCTTCTTTCAACAAAAACTCCCTCTTTCAGTGGCTCCTCTGCTTATCTTGTAGTGGAGACAAAATTGAACAAGTGACCTATACCCAGACCTTCCATTTCTTCACCATATTTTCCTGCTTTACTTTCTGCAATCTATCTTCTGCCTACATCCTGCCATTGAAACATCTCACATCCTTACCACATCTGCTTTGTAATCTCTTTTCCAATTTAACATTGTTTCCTGCTCCTTTCTTCCTGCAACCCTCTTCTGATTCTCCCCCTCCTCCTCCTCTCACTTCCTGAGTCCTGATGTCCGTACCACTCCTCTCTATCTGTATGTGCACCTCCTCAGCTCAGCCCTCTGCAATTTTCTCACTCTCATCAATCCCTCAACAACCTCACCCACCATCATGTTCTCACAATCTCCTCTCTGTAGAGAACTCCCAAACTAGTCTTTCAACCGGTCCTTTCCCATAAGCCCAGTCCTACAGAAACTTGCTACTTGAAAAGTCCCAATGTGCTCCCATTTTGTTGGTTGTATTTCCATCATCCGTACTTTACAGGCCTTAAAATTTAGTCATCTTTCACTCAACTTTTGTCTCTGCGTCTCCGCTGTCAACGTCACAGCTCGCAGTTCTGTGAATTGTTCTTCCACAATGTCTCCTAGATCCACCACTCCCAGCATCTCTCAATCTCACGCCCCACCCAAGGACTCACTCCCTAGTTCTTACCACCACACATATGGGCACTTCCATAATTTCTTAATAGAGATCCCTGCCTTTTCCCTCAGATGTATCCAACACGATAGGAACAGGTTAATATTCCTAGAGCATGGCCTTGATCATTCTCTGGCTTAAACTTCTTTAGTGTCTGTTTTATTTTAAAAAAAAGTGATGTCCTTCAGCCTGACATCTAAGGCTCACCCCTCCATGGACCCAGTTTCTTTATGTATCTGACCTTTCGTTTCTCTTTTCCCTGACATGAACTTTCAGTTCTAGTTTCTTGTTTGCCCCTGGGATAAGCCATGCTCACTCCCAGCAAGGGGCCTCTGCTCCACAAAATCAAATTGCATCCTTTTTTCAAGGGTCAGATCAAGTCTCACCTCTTTCATGAAACATTCTTAGGTATAGCTTTGTCCTCTGCCCCCAAAGCTTCAAACAAAAAGCGAATCAAACAATAAAGTCAGGCAGCTTTCACAAAGTCACACGCTGCTCAGTGGCACACTTTTCATTATACTTCTTGCTGTGGCAGTTTCTATGTCTTTGATTGGACTCTTTTCCCACCTATATCAAACCTTCCCACAGTTATCCAGCCTTCAAGAACCACTATAAGTCCTTCTTCCCCTTTCAAGTTTACAGCAAGCTCTTTCTCTCTGACTTACGTGATGTGTCCCTGACCATGCTGTATATTTTCAAAAGTTTAAACCTTGCATTAGACTTCTTTGCATCCCCCAGAGCACCTAGTCATGGGCCTTGTACAGAGTCACTGCTCCATAAATAGCCATGGACTTGATTTCTTTAAATGGATCCATCAAACAGATGTAGAAAAAGAAAGAGTTCTAACAGGAATTTTTGGGTTGGGAAATTATGCACGTGGAGTGAAAGTATTTACCTGGTTTTGGCATAGAACTCATTAAAATGTCCAAAAGCTTCTGTTTCTTTGAACTCTCTATTTGTGACACATAGTGTATCGCTGATTTTCCACTAAAATCACAAAGTTTAGGATCTCTAGGAAGAACAGAATCAACATTAAAGTTTATTTAGTTGAATCTGTTGAAAAAAGAAAACTAATATGAGAGGGCAAACATTTACATCAAATAAATAAAAAGTAATCTTATGTAGTTTGGGGATAATAATAATTATTTCAAAATGTATGAATAGAGGATGACAATTTTCCAAGATTTTAAGTGAAAGGAATTTGCGGTATATCTTTATTCCCATCACTATTCTAAAAACATTCTAAGATTTGCAGAGAATTCCCAACTTTGGACAAAATTTTTATAATTCTTTGAGGGTGCATAAAATCAAGTAAAGATAAAAACATCCTTTGTTGGTTTTTTTTTCACACTTTTAAATTTTTTTCAATGAGTCATAAGGATAAAAACATTTTGATAAACGATTGTCTTATCATTCCAAATAGCTCACTTGATTTTTTTTCTTTTCAATAATTAAGCTAACTGCTGACTTTCTTGATATTTCTTTTTTCTAATGCTAACAGATAGCTCTTTTATGATTCAAAATGGTGGAATGGCATAGAATCTTCTCTTTAAAATTAAGCTGATACTTTTATTTCATGGGCTCTTGGTTGAGTGGAGCAATCTTGTCATAAAAACCACAGTGTGCCTCTCTACATGACCTTTTCATTCCTCTTTACTTGGCCTTGTGGTTGGTAAGCCCAACTGGCTGATCTTAGGACCATTTACAACAGCACAAGTCTCTTCTTCTCCTCTCTATGTTGTACTGAACACTTGCATTAGATATCGGCTCAGAGAAATCCAAAGTCAAATGATGAGAATTCCATTAATAGATTATAGTGAGGGGAACAATGATGAAACTTGCTTTACTTGTCCTATTCTAGGACAAGGAGCAAGTTGATCATGGTCTCTATTCTAAAATCTTTGAATTTGAATCTCTTCGTTGCTGTGGGACAGGGTAATGTGTCATGAGCCACAGTAATATTCTCTTATGGACTTTTCTTCATCAAAGATTGTAATTCAAAAGAAATAGCATAGGACTGAAAATTGGGGTTGCCACTACCTTGATATGTGACTTTAAGCAAGCCACTTAACATATTTGCAGAGAATTCCCAACTTTGGACAAAAATTTTTAAAATTATTTAAGGATGCATAAAAACAAGTAAAGGTAAACTCATTGGGACCTCTCCTCATCTGCCTAGATTAGGGTGTCTCCAAGTGGCATACCTTGATTTCCGGTATTCTGGACCCCAATCCAGACCTACTGAACATCTCTGGGGTGATGTCCAGGAATCTCCACTTTCATCAATCGGCCAAACTATTTCTCAGCACTAGTCTGAAGTAGCTTCAAAATTCCCTTTTCATTCCATTATACTAACTGATCCTTTTACAATATCTTGTGTTCTTGACTATAATTTTGTTCTTGAAGCTCCCTCCTCCTTTTTTTTTTTCCAAAACAAAATTCATATGAAATGCTGAGAAAGAGCTCAGGCCATCTGTTCTTATTTGATGACAAGATAACTAAGTAACAGCTTTAGGAAACTGCAATTGTAACATGAGAGATTGCTTATTAACCTTCTTATTTTAAAAAAAAGTTCATTGTTTATCTCCCCCGCCCAAAAGAGCATTTGACATATAGTAATGTTAAGATAACTTGAAAACACTATTAGAAATTGCTTTTCAGACACTGACAGTGTTTTCTGAAATAATTAGTAACATCTTGGGGGTTGAGAGCTGGATACTCAAGAATTATTTGACATTCCCAGTAACTACTAAAACACTACTCATTTCAAGAAATGAAACAAAGAGCTGGATATCATAAGAATAATAGGTAGCAAATTTTAAAAACTGCACATCACTTTGCCACTGTGAAGTCACTTCTATGATGGTGTGCGTGCATTTGGTATATACAGTAGAAAACAGCCTGGAATCCCTGCACTTTGGGAGGCCAAGATGGGAGAGTAGCTTGAGGGCAGAAGTTCGAGACCAGCGTGGGCAATATAGTGAGATTTCATCTCCACAAAAATTAAAAATTAGCCAGGCATAGTGGTATGTGCCTGTAGTTCTAGCTACTCAAAAGGCTGAGGCAGGAGGATCCATTGAGCCCAGGAGTTTGAGGTCACAGTGAGCTATGATTGCGCCACTGCACTCCAGCATGGGCAACAGAGCCTGTAAAAAAAAAAAAAAAAAAGAGAAAAGAAAGAGAGAGAGGAAGGAAGGAAGGAAAGAGGAAGGAAGGAAGGAAAGAAGGAAGGAAGGAAGGAAGGAAGGAGAAAGAAAGAAAGAAAGAGAGAAAGAAAGAAAGAAAGAAAGAAAGAAAAAAGAAAGAAAGAAAGAAAGAAAGGAGGGAAAAGAGAAAAGAAAAGAAGGAAGGAAGGAAGGAAAGGAGAGAGAAGAGAGGGAGGGAAAGGGGAAAAAAGAAGCTATGTGTCTTGGTTTACATGTGATTTCTGTAAATAACAATGGAATAGACACCCTTCGGCTGGACTGACTAACTGCTCGTACTCACGCATGATGCCTTAGGAGCTGGGACAGAACTTCCACAGGTCTGTACGCTGTTAACATGTCAAGACTCTCAAATAGGTCCACATCTCTCACAGTCAGCATCAGAGGGGTCAAGCCATGTTGGTTTGGGAAATTTATATCCAGGAACTCTTCGGATGCCTTTAAAAACATGCAGCTTTATTTCTGTTGTGTTTTTACTGCATAGCTCTTTATGCTAATCTTTGCATTTTCATTGCTTGGCCAACTTTTCACTATAACTTCAATATGTTCTTTCTGAGTGTCTGTCCTGAAAGGGAACTGATGAGGTGAAAGAGCACAAGCCAGAAAGGCAGATCTGGGTTTCAATCTCAGCTCCTTAAGGTGGTTATTTAACTTCCCTGACAAGTTGTATCAGGGACACCCAGTTAAAAGGTGATCAAATTACCCTGATAAATTGAGGGTATCCAGTTAAATCATGTGTAATTTTCTTTTGGGATGTATTTATGCAAAATATTATTCGTTGTTTATCTGAAATTTAAATTTAACTGGGTGTCCTGTATTTTTATTTGCAAAATCTGGCAACCCTACTTGCTAAAGTTCAGGGCCCTCAGCTGTAAGGTGGAATAGTAGTGTCTTCCTTGTAGGGTTATGTTGCTGATTGGGGCTAGAATGTAAAAAGCACTTAGCAGGGTGTCTGACACACAGTAAGTGTTCAGCAAACATTCGCTGAATGAATAAATAATTCATAACAATATAGCAGCTCAGCCGGGCGTGGTGGCTCATGCCTGTAATCCCAGCACTTTAGGAGGCTGAGGCACGTGGATTGCTTGAGCCCAGGAGTTTGAGACCAGCCTGGGCAACATGGCAAAACCCCATCTCTACTAAAAATACAAAAAATTAACCAGGCCTGGTAGCATGCACCTGTAGTCCTGGTGACTCAGGAAGCTGAGGTGGGAGGATCACCTGAGCCCAGGAAGGTCGAGGCTGCAGTGAGCTGTGATCACATCACTACACTCCAGTCTTGGCAACATAGTGAGACTCTGTCTCAAAAAATAAAAAATAAAAAAAATTTAAAAAACAGCTAAGTTACCTGTATTTATATAGTCAAATGGAGGGAGGTATATGGATGTAATTTGATGCCTTAATGAAAGTAAAACTTAATTTGGATAATTCAAAACTGAAAAGTTACCGCAGGCCAAAACACCTAAATTGTTCATTTTATAGACCAAAGAAATGCACTGATTTCATCTCTATTTCACTTTATGCCATGTCAATATACTCAGTGTCTCTACCTCAGCTTCTCTAGGGACAAACTAGAGAGAATGGTATTACTTCAGCAAGGTACTGTGGGAATTAATTAGTTAACTTTTTTTTTAGTCTCTAAGAAGAAACCACCTCCGATATCAATGTTTATTATTAGTTAGAACCAACATGAAAATTTTGAACTGAGAATAGTCTCGTAATAGCATATCAATTCAGCATCTGTTGATCAAAGTATAGATCCAGTTACAGGTACCAGTTTCTTAAAACTTGGTTCCTAATGTTTAGGGGTTAAAAATGTGGTTATAAAAACAGACATTGGGCCAGGTGCGGTGGCTCACGTTTGTAATCCCAGTACTTTGGGAGGCCGAGGTGGGCGGATCATGAGGTCAGGAGATCGAGACCCCGTCTCTACTAAAAATACAAAAATAAAATTAGCTGGGCGTGGTGGCAGGCGCCTGTTGTCCCAGCTACTCCAGAGGCTGAGGCGGGAGAATGCCATGAACCCGGGAGGCCGAGATGGCACCACTGCACTCCAGCCCGGGTGACAGAGCGAGACTCTGTCAAAAAAAAAAAAAAGACATTACATTACAATTACAACTACTGAAAACACCATTAAGTAAAATACATTGTCTTTCAAAAAAATTTTCTAAGCCTCAGTTCGTGATGTTTGACAATTTTAGACTATCATTTAGTCCAACCAAAGAATTTGAAGTATTGTTTGGTTTTGTTATATCTCTCCTTGAACTGTACCTGACTGGAATAACTTTCACTTTTTTCTTTATCTGTTTGTGTCTTTATCATAAGGGCTTAGAAGAAACTGTTTCTTAGCAGCAATTGATTTTCTTTCAGTTGGAAGATCACATGGTCTGACAGTCTCTTTGAAGGTAAATGTCAAGAGTAGGCAATTGCCAGTCACCGATAATTAATGTCCTTGGTTATGCATATGATTTTGCAAATTGCTTTCTGAAAAAGTATCTGTAAGTAGAAAATCTAAACAAGAGGATCAATACCCTGAGAAGACAGCCCTTTAAAAATGTATCCTCTGAACTCCTTTCATAACAACTAAATATTATGCAAGGCATAGGCTCTCTGATTCCCTTTTCAGGATAAAGATAATAACAGCAACTGGTCCAAAGGGATCTAAGCAGCAATTGTACAAATGGCAGCGATGCCAAGGGAACTCCTCTGAGCAA